TTTTAGGTGAAGGGGTCAAAGGTCAAGGTCACATTGACCTTTTAAGTAAAAACGGTTTCTGATCAATAACTCAAGAACACTTCGGCCTAGGAACTTCAAACTTGGTATGGTGATTTGTCATGACCAGCAGATTACTCCGATTGATTTTGGGATTAAGGGGTCCAAGGTCAAGGTCACACTGACCTTGTAAGTAAAAACGGTTTCTGATCAATAACTAAAGAACGCTTCGGCCTAGGAACTTCAAACTTGGCATGGTGATTGGTCATGACCAGCAGATGACCCCTATTGATTTTGGGGTCAAAGGTCAAGGTCACATTGACCTTGTATGTTAAAACGGTTTCCGATCAATAATAAGAGAACCCTTAGGCCTAGGAACTTCAACCTAGGCATGGTGATTGGTCATGACCAGCAGATGACCCCTATTGATTTTGGGGTCAAGGGGTCAAAGGTCAAGGTCACATTGACCTTGTAGGTAAAAACGGTTTCTGATCAATTTACTAAAAACGCCTAGGCCTAGGAACTTCAAACTTTGTATGATGATTGGTCGTGACCAGCAGATGACCCCTATTGAGTTTTGGGTCAAGAGGTCAAAGGTCAAGGTCATGACCAGTAGATACTTTATAACCCTTATTAATTGTTTGATCACTGGGTCAGAAGTCATGCATAATAACCTTATCACATGACTAATTGGCTGCTGATAGGGGGCATACATGTTTTACAAACATATCTTGTTTAATCAAGCTCTGTAAAATACGTTATATATTCAGCCAAAGGGGAGGTCAGGATCATGTTGCATCCACTATAAAATTGGCAGATATTTAAGAAATCGCACAAGTCAATATTTGGTAAACGTTCTAGCAATGTAATTTTTGGATTTTACCATTTTTAAAATTTACTCTATTTTTTCAAATTGTTAAAAAATGTCATTTCACTTCAATGATGTTTGCAAGAAAAAAAAAATCCTTCCAAAATTCAATGTTGAAACAATTTGCAACAGACTGATTTTCAGACGCTCACTTGATACGACATATCGAACTTGTACGTCTCATGTGAACTTGTACACATATTTTGTTTGATTATTCAGTAAAATCAATATTAAGAACGTGCCCTATTCCGCTCAAAATAAAACTTAAGTCATTTAAAGATATCACATTTATAATACCACACATTTAAGAAATTTTGTTTCGACGTATTGTCTTACATGTTTGTGATATCTATGACATGTCGATATTATCAAAATGTTTGCATTATTTTCTTTCATTCATAAAATTAAAAAGAAATGCAACTTTTTCAAAAGCTAATGTATTATTTCGTAATATTTTACGGAAAGAGCTGGTATTCAAGCTACATGTCAGGCGAATTTAATACAAAAGTTGATCACTTTTAAAAACGGAAAGAGGTACCTATATCTACATTTAAAACAAATGAATAATGTTATATAACTAAGTTAAAATAGAATCTAGTACATTATTATCAGGGTCTTTCTATTTGTAAGGCCATGTTATAATCAAATACAATAAATATGGTATTTTTATACATTACGTAAGTTGACCGCAGGCCCGATGGCACTTTTTTTAAAGCCATTTTTCGCATTGAAATGATTTTCCAAAATGAATAGTACGCACCTGCGTATTCGGCGTATAGGCAAAAAGCTATTAAGCTTATTAACGTCCTCTATATATTTGTACTATGTACTTAAATTATGACAGTATTTATATTGTTTGAAATAATGAAGTTTATTTCTTTTTAAACACACTTGGCATGAAATAACAAATTCAATGTTTTAACTGCCAATTAAATCATAGTGAAACTAGTAATTGGTCAAAAGATCTTACTAAAAAGAAAGAAAAAACAAGATACATTGTTGGATAGAATGAGAAAGAAGTTTAAGAACATACATTCGGAAAGGCCTAGATGGTAACTTATTTTGTGAAACTATAGACATTGATTACTTCCATGAATGTATACCTGAACTGTCTGAAAAATTAAGAATTAAGGTATGACCACCTTTTAAATGGGCACTTTAAGGAACTGAAAAATAGACAACATGGGTCAGATGTATGGTTTAAAAAACAACTGACAAATTTGCCGTACGGTTTTCATATTATGGACACTTTTTTGAAGGGGTCTTTTTCAGAAATGAGGAAACTTTAAAACATTCATGGTATCATCCTCATGAAAATTGTTTTACTACTGACTATTGTGAAGAAACAAATAATAGCATTCAGCTAACAAATCACACAAGCAAAATGATTGTTTCTTCTCAAAAATGTGTGAAGTAAATATACAAATATTACTCTACCAGGCCCATTTTTAACACTTGTTTGACCATTTTCCTACTTGGTGAACCTCATTCAAAAAATCTCCAAATTTACCAGAATGAGAGAATGTTTTCAAGTTTGCCTAAATCTTTTCAAAAGTAAATTGGTTGATCTTATAAAATACTTTTACCGCGTAGTTTTGATTTTATTAGACTTTAAAAATATCAGGTGCAATTTCAATTATTGTATTTGGCATTATTCAGCCAATAAACACATATTATGATTCTTTCGAAATAGGATCGGAGAGGTCTTTTTTAGGCCTTGTGTGACTAGAAATGGCTAAAAAGATCAAAGGAAAAGTCACATAAGTACCATTTCGTAAGTACGTCCATCCGTCCGTCCAAATTTCGTCTCAGAAACTACTGGCTGGAAGTCAACGAAACTAGGAGAACAATCAATACCAAGATGAGATGCACATATCATCGTATTGCTTCGGTTAGACCCTTTAACACAGAGTTATGTCCCTTGATTAGGTATACTGTATGCATATATACAAATAATAGTTTCCGTGCTATTTCTCTGCAACTACTGGCTGGAATTAAACGAAACTTTATGGGAACCATCAATACCAAGACGAGATGCACATACCGTCAGACCCTTCAACACAGGGTTATGGCCCTTGATTAGTTATGCAGTATGCATATAGAGCAATAATCGTTTCCGTGCATTTTCTCTGCATCTACTGCAGTAATTCAACCAAATTTTATACGAATCTTCTATACCAAGACGAGATCCTCCGGTCAGACCCTCCAACACAGGAGTAATGGCCCTTGATTAGTTATGAAGTATGCATGTAGAGCAATAAACGTTTCTGCAATATTTCTCATTTATGGGTTTAAATTCAATAAAACTTTATGGAAACCATTAATACCAAGACGAGATCCGCATATCGTTTCCTTGTTCAGGTCACACCCCATAAACACAGAGCTATGGCCCTTGATTAGTTATGAAATATGTAAATAGAGCAATATTGCTATTTCTTTGCAACTGCTGGATTGATTTCAACAAATCTTTATTGGTACCATCAATACAAAAAAGCAATTGCATCTCATTCGCATGTCCAGATAATACTATTTAATACGGAGTTATGGCCTCTGTTATTGCTCTGAATTTTGTACAAAGGATATTTCTCTTTATGCCATGATAAATATATAAATGAAACCTTATGCCTCCAGTTGTTATGTTAGTAATAACCAGTTCTTGGCGTGGGATATAAATTCATCGAATTTCCTTGTTAAACACAGAGCCAGTGGATTAAGAATTCTAAATGGCCGACTGAACGTTCAAATAATTAAATATTGCATACTAAATTAAATAGCCATCAACGTAAAATAGAAATATTTCAAGCAAAGCTAAATTATATATTGAAAAGTACCTAAGTTAATGATCATGTCTATTGATGTTCTAAACAGATTAGAACTGTCTGATTATGACATAATTATAAATTTGTGGCAGACATAAACATATAGTATGTCACAATGTGACAGGCTCTGTCCATTCCTTGCTAGTTTTTTTAAAATTTCACATCTTTACAAAATAGAGAAAAACTGAATCCCTAAGGATCGACAAATTTGAAAATGTTGCAAGCTTGGTTTGGTTGGCCTGTTCAACCTTCTGAGAAAGAAATGATTTACAACAAAGCCAAATAATTTGTTCTGCTTTCTCTTACTATTTTCTTTCACTTTGAAACTACCTTCTAACTAACTGTTGGCAAAATACCAGACCATTTAGCATAGATATGTGTATCTATTCATAAATAAAATAGTTAAAGAGAGGTAACAGGTTGTATTGAGGGCTTCATTTATCTACTTCTTGGTCGTTTGATGTTGTTTTTTTTTTCACATCAAGTTTTCAAATTATGCTGCGTTACATTTACCAATACCCTTTAGTATTTCCTCATTGCTTAATTTACATTGATATCAAAGGTTATATTAACAAAATGGAAACGTTAATTGCTGTTAAAGTGTTAGGTATGCTACTTTGTTTTTATAGGCTACGTCTCAGCTAGCAGTGTGGCTAAAACTTCCACGCAGTCTCTACAGTTGATGTCATCAGCAAAATTAATGATAAAAGGTGTTTTCTCAGTGTGAGAGGTTTTTGTTCTTTAATGAAAAGGGAACCTGGCATTATTTGCCTCTGGTTGTCCTAGATTTGTACAGGCTAAGTAGATACTGGGGGTAATTGTTTGTCTTTAACCGAACATTATTAGGTATATTTCATAGAAAACAAAATGAAGAGTGATAGTATTTTTTTTTTAAATTGGGTGACAAAAAAAGAAATATTTTGGATAAACAATGTCAAAGGAATAACCTGGTAGTGTATGTCTGGTGTGAACTGTGATGGAGACAAGAGGACAGGGAACAAATAGATAACTTAATTTTGCTGTCCGCAATTGTTTTGCCCTTACATAATTGTTGTGTACTTTTGAAAACAATCAACAAATGTTCTGTTGTGAGCATTTTATCTGTTAATCTGTCTGGTTACCTTCTCAAAGGAAGTAATTTAATGAATTTAACAACTGTTATGAAATAAATTCTGCATGGTGATATATTTAGTGTATCATCATTGTGACAATGTGATCATATTTGAACACCCAGATTGTGTCTTTGGGACTTGTAAGTCAATATTTTATATTAACTATTCACTTGTTTAACAACATGTCGTTTTCAATATTTTTAGCAACAACATACAGATCCTATAACAGAGAGTATACCATCAGACAAGATACGAGATTTATGTTCACAGCTACAAGAACAACTAGATAATCTTATACACAATATAAAACAGTGAAAATTTGGCTTATGCCACAAGTGACTGGTGATTACAGTCATAAATATAAAGTAACAGTTGAAATTTAAAAAAACTGAAAATCATTCAATTTACATGTGATTTGCTAAATCCTATAGTTAAATAAATGAATAAAGAACTTAGTTCATAAATTGTATAGTATTTTTGAAATGATAATGGGTCTACACTTAACAACTTTTTAACGACACCAATAGCATTTTCGCAATAACTTTAAAACTACCGAAAGGAACTAAATAATATTTTCAGGAACTTTAGATTGATACAAATGTCATTGTTTGATACAAAATTTACAATGCAAGAAGTTTAAAGATTACAGATATTATTTATTTTACAACGAAATCCCGTTTTTCAAAGTCGCAAACTAAGATAACTATTCAGTATCAAACATTATTTACTGTTTATTGCAAATTTATAATTAATTAAATTTCTTTTTATAATCGCTATTATTATTATAATTGTCATCAAATGTTATTTTATATATACCACCCCTCTCAAAAAAACACGATAAAAAACTTTTTGATTGCTCATATGAGCATGAGGCAACTGGGACAGTTTGTCATGGAGGAGTGGAACCGTGTTTTTCAGGCCACTTGTCGAAATAACGTCTTGTCCATGCGCAGGCGATGCTGGGCGCTTATATTAACAAAAAGTGATCATACCAAGTATTCAGTTTTAGATAATGCCGAGAATACATGACTATAATACATTGAATGCTTTATGTAATGGAGCTTGAAAAGCTCTAAAGATGGTATTTCAAATACACATACACAATTAAGTTTAGTGTGTCATACACGGTGGATAGCGTGTTGTTACTTTTTTTTTTGTCAGAATAATACGCGTCATATTATATATATTTTTACATTCACTTTATACAAAGATGGTGATAACATCTTATATTTTATTCAATCTATTGAAACATTTATTTTTAGCATTCCAAGGACTTTACAAGATTGGGAACCATAACTTTATTAGTAATTGTATTTATCCGATAAATGTTGTGACTTTGTAAAGTAGGAATTGCATCAAATAAAATACAAAATCTTCAAAATGCGGAGATGTCTGTTGTTTGTTTTCCACCAAACACTGTCTGATATATTTCGTTTACTGTCCTGAAAATTTCAAGCAATTATCCTCAATAGTTTTTAAAATATTACGAAAATGCTTCGGTTAGCGTAAGAGAAGTTGTAAAGTGTTTGTACATGTGCAAAGAAAAAAAAAACATACTAATTTAACGTGAATTGGTCTACAATGGGCACATCCTCTCTCTTAAAATATTTCAAATATATTAATAAAAACAATAAAAGTGTATCATTTGGAAATTATTATAAATATAACTGGAAAGAAAAATGTTGATAAAGTTTAAATGATTTAGTATGAATATTTTTCTGATGATTAATAATATTTTGCTCTAGAACATTTTTGTGTCCCCACTTAAGGGGGGGGGGGTACAATGACCCTTGTCCGTCCGTTCCCATTTTTTTGTCGCACGTAGCTCAATAACATATTCGACCTATAGTCATGAAACTTTACAGGATGTGAAGTTCTGCACCTGGGTATTTTCGTGTGGATGTATGTAGTATTTGTAGTGGTATTGCCCTTGACTTAGTAAAAATTTGCAATTTTCAACTCGTTCATGAATAACTCAAAAAGTACCGGACCTGTATGCCTGTGAGTTAACAAGAATATGCTACTGGGGGTTTGCTTGTGGATTTATTTAGTATTTGTAAAGTTCTTGCCCTTTAGTTAGTAAAAAAATTTAGTTTTCAACTTGTGGCACATGTAGCCCAAAAATATTAGACCTAGAGTCATAAGATTGACAAAAACAGTGGAGAGTGGTGGCACCCTTGTCCTATGGACACATTTCTAGTAATATCTGCTTTATAAATATATGTAATATCGGATCATGTATCTCACACTTGCCAACATCATCCATGTATAATTCTTCCTTTGTTTGTTGTTATGCATGATACTAAATACAATCAAAATGATAATTTAATATATTACAGATCTTCCATTATATAGTCATATTCACTTTAAGCAATCAAAAGGAGTTGATGTCCAAAAATCACTTTACACATATTAAAAAAATAGAAACTTCTCTTGAAGAACCTGTGCAATAGAATTGTCATTTGGTCCTCTGCAAATGTTATACAGAATCATGACTGGTTCTCTCCCATGGTCACTTATTTTACTTAAGATTTGTATAGGAAAATGCATTTTAATATTCGTCACTTAAATTGAATATTTTATAGTTGAATTATTTGTTATGTAGCCTTCTACAAATGTTATTTGAATTAGAACCCTCGACAAAAAATATTACTTTACATCTAAAGTCAAAATTGGTCCTCCCTGTCCCATATTTTATAGACTTCATTGAGTAAATTTTAAAGCATTTATCTTGACCTTCATAAGTAATTATTATACCAAGGTAGACTTCATATAACAAAGGTGATCCCAGTCAAAAACAGTTCTTATTATAAGATTATACTAAATAATTTCACACCTGAATGATTCTTGTTTATAAATTCACTGTAGTGATAGAAGTTGAAAATAGCATACTCCCCAAGTAAAAATTTGGCCTGTCATGGGGACAATGGGTTATCATCAGACTTAGATAAATGAAAAATGCATATAAATAACCCTCTCGGAATCTACTGTCCACGAGCATAAAGCGTTTCGCAATTAACCTGTACAAAGTAGTAGAAATGTCGACTTATTAAAAATGAACACGACCGCAGGTCTCTTATTTTTTCGGATGTGTATAGAAAACTTGATCTTCTTAAAATACAATGTCAAGACAATTTAATTTCATATTTTTGTACATAGTTGCAAGCTCACTTCATTTATGTCTGTTTAGGGCGTCCTTAGCCGAGTGGTTAGGGTCATTAACTTCAAACTACTTGCCCCTCACCGCTGTGGGTTTAAATCGAATTATTTCATGTGAGGAAGCTATCCAGCTAGCTTATGGAATGTGGTGGTCCTACTCCGGTGTATTTCGTACCTGAAATAATGCACGGAAGAGCACTTGAGGTCTTCCTTCGCCAGTAAAGATTGAAATTTGCCATATGACCCATACTGTGTAGATGCGACGTAAAACCCAACCAAACATAATTGAGTTTGATGCATCACTTGACTCTAAACCTGCTGTAAATAGTCTAACAATTCTGGAGAAGAGGAGAACCTTTGTGAGCAATGAATACACAACAAATACCTGACAATGGCAGAATCTGTTTTATCGAGTCTGTTAATGAGAGATAATGTAATATTCATCGCGTATATGTTAAAATGAAGATCTTCTACTGTGTTTCTGAAAAGAAATATGATCTGAAAGATTTTAATTCTTCATCTTTATGTTTTATCCATATATATATTTAAGATTAGTAGATACATCAACAATGTTCAGAAGTTTAGATAAAACATCCTTTTAGTTGACCACTTTTAATAATTTTCATTGACGTGAACTCTTCGCACAAGAGATATTCTCTGCGTAACAAGCCCCAGTCATATTCACAGAGTTCTTTTATTTCATCTTTGATCTTTCTTTTCATATCCTCGTTTAATATATTCATTTGTGAGTTTGGTAGAATATGTTAGATAATCTTTCATATCTAGACCACTTCATTTCAAATTCATATACAATGGACCCAGCGGTTCTACGGATTCTTTTGTGAACATAATCACTCAAAACATCTTTGCATACTTGTAGGTGACGAGTTTCTATCTGATCGATGTTTTGTTCATTTCGATGACTGAATAATGCTCTTTTCACTTCATATGCTATTAATTTCAAATCCATCAAAACACCTGCTGTTCCTGTTTTTAAACCTGTAGTGAGTAATTCATGAATAGTTTCAAATATAGATCCTATTATTTTGTGACCCGTCAAATTACTGGTGTTATTATTATACCTTGCCCTAAAAACTAATATGTTAAATCCAGAGCCTATGTTCGGAAGTGATTCATCTTGAAAACATACAGATAACAGTTTTATAGTGCTTAAAAGACAATTTCCAAGGTCAGGTTGAGGCAAGTTACAGCTTTTGATATGATGAAGTGCTGCGGTTTTAATTTCATAAGAAGTTACCATTAGCCCAGTGCCTTCTAAAAAATGTGTGCATAATTGTTCATTTATAAATTTTAGGATCATATACACGTTCCTATGCAGCTGACATGTTTGTTGTAGCATCTTTACCTCTATGTCATAGTGAGATATTCTCCAGCATCCACCACCACAGCTTGCTCTTATGCAATATCTGTTTGGAAAAAGGTAACAATTGCCTTCCACTTTTGATAAAACATCTCTTTCCCCTGAATAATGATTCAACAACCGTTCTGGAGCAAAAATCAAAACCGGGTGGATATCTACGTAAACATCACGGATATTATTTAATTTGGTTTGAGAGTAGGGTTCTGAGGAAAGATATTTCGGTTCAAAAATGAAATGAATTTTGTTTTCCACATCAGATGGCAGCAATCTGAGACAACCGATAGTCATAAAAACACTACAGCATTGACACCCATAAGCTATTGTTGCTATTATTCTCGTGATATGTTTGCCTGAATTGGTTTCTTTGAGACGGACAAAAAAATTTCTTGCAACCCTTTTCAATTGACTTCCATAAATTTTTACGAAATACAGTTATAACGTCAGTACTTAAACAAACATAGTCATTAGCTGATACCTTATAAAGAGGTTGCATTGATCCTTCACAGGATCTTCGAAATTTTAGCTCGCCACATCCTGGCCAGGATTCCATTTCAATAATGTAATCATACTCTAAGTCTCCATAAAGCTTGATTCTTGTTTTCTCAGCCATACTTCCGCAACGTGTCACACGTTTAATATTAAACTCTGGAAACTTTGCCATCATAAGACCAACAAATCGGTTTATTAATTGTTCCACTCCATTTGTTACATCTTCTACTTCTGGTTTTTCATGATTTAAACAGACCTTTTCAATAACATCACTACAAAACTTCTCCATATTTGAATTTTAAA